CTCAAGGGGCCAAAGAGCCGCATGTGGCTCGCGAGCCGCCGTTTGCCGACCACTGGCCTAAGACCATCCTGCATATCAGGTATTTACATGACGATTCATCACAGTAGCAACATGACAGTGACGAAGTAGCAACGGAAATAATGTTATGGTTGGGTCACCACATGAGGAACTGTATTTAAAGGGCCAGAAGGTTGAGAACCACTGCCCTAGGCCTGCAGTCACCGCCCACGCAAGTCCCCAATGTGACTTCCCAGCAGCCCTTGTGATCAGCAGGCTCCCTGGCCTCCCAGCACCTGTCAGCCGATGTGTCCCTGAGATAAGACCCCACGGGGCTCACCCACACCCCACTGCAGGTCACGTGGAGAGAGTGCATACAGACCATAGTGCTTTTTTTTTTTTTTAAAAAACACAGATAACTTCATCTACAGAGATAAATTACTTCTAACTGCCAAACACCTGTGTTTGCTCAATTAAATGAAAATTATAAGATAAAAATGCTTCGGTTGTAATGCTTATGCACCATGACTACAGACGTACAAACTCTATGGCTCTAACTGGATCAGAACAGAGAGTAACGAAGAGCCTCGATAATCTATATATATAAAAGCCAGGAATCTATATATATAAAAGCATAAGCGACTAACTGGTAGCTATGACGTGCACTGACCATCAGGGGGCAGCCGCTCAATTCAGGAGCTGCCCCCTGGTGGTCAGTGCGCTCCCACAGCCAGCCTCCCACGGCCAACCAACCTCCTGCAGTCCCTCCCCCTGGCCGGCCGCCCCCATGGCCCTAATCAGGACTGGGCCAGAAGGCCCTGATCGGCCCCAATTGCCGGCCAAGCAGAGGGACCCCACCCATGCACGAATTCGTGCACCAGGCCTCTAGTGGTAGAATAATAGGCTTACGTATAATTATTTTCTTTTCAAATATTAAATGGGGGGTTGTGACTATTTAACTATCAAACTTCAACAAGTAATCAAGACAAAAAGGACTTACCTGATCTAGGCTTAAATTAGCCAATACCAGAGCGGTGGGGGTCCCTTCTAATCCCGCCTGGACAAACACCTTCTTACAGTCCTCTTTGAATTCCACGTAGGAATAGTTCTGAGACACGGGCACGTGGTAGGGTTTGTGGTCTGTCAAGTAGCAGGCCAAGATGGTACAGGTTTCCTTCCCGCATCCGTCTATGCCAATCTTTGGAAGAAAAAAAAAATTCAAACACGTGATCCTTATGTTATGTCCTGGGAATCTTTCCCTGCATGGTTTTCTGTCTAGATGTGCTAGAAATTTAGACAATAAAAACACCGTAGACTAGTTTTAAGACTTTTTGGGGAGCGATACTATGGACAAGCTGAATGTGGGGAGGGAGTGAAAGGTGTCAAGGACGAGGGGTTCCCAGGTGTTGGGCTAGCGCAGTAGATCTATGGTGGTGCCATTTATGGGGTGGCAAAGGCTAGGAAGGAATAGTTTTGATGGTGGAATGATCTGCTTTTGCATTTTTGGCTTAATTCTATTTTCTAACTTTTTTTTTTTAATCCTCACCCGAGAATATTTTTTCCATTGGTTTTTAGGGAGAGTGGAAGAGAGAGGGAGAGACAGAGAGAAACATCGATGTGAGAGAAACGCATCAATTGGCTGCCTCCTGCACGAGCCCCGACCAGGCCCCCAGGCTAAGAGAGGAGCCTGCAACCAAGGTACGTGCCCTTGACCAGAATCAAACCCGGGACCCTTTGGTCACAGGCTGACGCTCTAGCCACTGAGCCACACCGGCCAGGGCCATTTTCTAACCTTTAATTCCTTGTAATTAGTCTTGTACATGTCTGTTTAAATAATAGATTTAAAAAATAAAGTTCTAGTTTCTCTGAATGCCAAAGAAAAGTCCTTCGCGGAAAAAAATGGTGTGATTTAAATAACTAAAATAGTTATAAAATAAGTAACAGACATAAATAATAATAGTCATAAGTCATGTGATTCGCATAACTGGCTAAATATGCTGGACTTTCTTTAGCCTTCCGAATAAAATAATACCTCCATTCGAGTTACTGAGGGCTTTTCCAAGAATGTCACTCCCCCTGGCTTCCATGAAAAGTAAAACTTTTCATTCAGAAGCATGACTCATGCTTCTAAATCCAAATTCAAGTAAGTGTGCTGTTTTGAAGTAAGATCCACTTGCACAGAGTACATTAGTGCCGAGGACATGCGAGACCCATTGCTTTTATTCAGGTCAAATGCTTTCTAAAAACAAAGAACACTGTTATGTGCTGATGCATTTCTTACGCAAACTCTTAAGAGGACAAGGACCTTGTCCCATGACTCAACGACCCTGGCCTTTCCCACATGGAAACCCTGGATAAATACAACTTCTGTAAGCAAAGCAGATGTCTGAGGTTGCCTGCATTTTTAATGGACCAACTTAAAAAGGTCTGAGAACTTCAAATTCTTACCAATAACATGTGAGTCCCCGACTGTCGAAGGACCCGCGCGGCCCTGGCAATGTGTTCTATGGCTTCCTTGAAGAACACCATGGAGTGAGAAATCTAGCAAAGAAATGGACACACAGCTGAGGGCAGGCACAGGAAAGTGTTCAATACGGAGTGTTGTTGTTTTTCAAGATTTTTGTTGCTGCTGTTAACCTTCACCCAAGTATATCTTCCAATTGATTTTGGGAGAGAGTGGAAGGGAGGGTGAGGGTAAGGGAAAGAGAGAGAGGGAGAGAGAAACATCGATGTGTTTGGTTGCTTCTTACACGCACCCCGACCAGGGCCAGGGATGGGGCCTGCAACCGAGCTGCGTGCCCTTGACCGGAGTTGAACCCGGGACCCTTCAGCCCGTGGACTGATGCTCTATCCACTGAGACACACTGGCTAGGCCTCGCTCTGGTATGGCCTAGGCGGATATAGAAACGGCAATGACTATTCCAGTCACCTAGACCGGTGGTCGGCAAACAGTGGCTCGAGAAACAAACAGTGGCTCGACAAACTGCAGCTCGCGAGCCACATGCGGCTCTTTGGGCCCTGGAGTGTGGCTCTTCCACAAAATACCGACTTCTGCGCATGGGCCACGGAGTTTCGACCGCACGTGGTGTTTTGTGGAAGAGCCACACTCAAGGGGCCAAAGAGCCGCGTGTGGCTCGCGAGCCGCGGTTTGCCGACCACGGCCCTAGACCGAGTCAACTGGCTTCCCTTCATGGAAAATACGTTTGCACGGTGAGGACTGTCCCTCTGCCAACAGTGTGGTGTGCAAGACTGGGGAGGTCACAGGCTCCAGGGGAGAGAAGAGAGAGGACTGCGGCACCCCGGCTGCGTCTCCATTGCTGGGTCCTGGGGTAGGAGGACGGTGGGAGGGAGAGTCGTGGGACACTGGTTCGAGGCGCCTGTGATGTTGCTGGAGTCGCAGCCAGCACAGCTCTTCCCACGACAACGGGGAAAAGGTAGACAGGAGTCGCATCCGTTTTGCTGCCCCTTGTTTTCCTCTGGGTCCTGGCGCCACGCTGCCTTCCGCATCTCTAAACTCACCAACGCTCATCGGTCCACCCCCTGCAGCTCACAGCTGTGCACCTTGTAGTTAAGATTTTACCCTTCCAGCCCGACCCGCGCGGGGCTCAGTGGCTGAGCGTCGACCTAGGAACCAGGAGGTCACGGTTCGATTCCCGGTCAGGGCACGGCCCGGGTT